AAATTCTGATGCAATATTAAGCAATTTTTGCAATATTTTTGCATTTTTATGCTTACGTATTGTTTTACAGCAACATATGATTTAACGCTGAAATACTAAGTTAATGTTTGTCACTATGATAGTATTTTAAATACCTCAGTAAATTTACCAGACTGCAGATAGAAGATGTCTGTCGCCGGTAATACAATTTCAAAATTAACAGCCAGTTGTCTATGATATATTAGTTGCGTTTGTGTACTCATTTCCAGTAAAATCCAGTAAAAGTTTTTACGAATTTTCATGTTTTGGCGTTTTCGTACGCAAAAGCTTGCAAAGTAGGGGAAAGAGGGAGAGCGAAAAATGACAGTTGAAGTTGCAATTTTTTACTGGATAAATTTTTACTTGTAAGAATTCGCCAGTACGAAAAACAGCTGATCGCATGTTGCTGGATAAAATTTAAACTAATAAGGACACTGTTTGTGGGTTTTTATTGTGGAAATTCGCAAAATTAACATATTTACACTAAGAAACTAGCAATAAAATATATTGTTTTATTAGGAATATGCTGCGAATAAACAACCAATTTATCAGCGGTTCATGAAACTTGCAAATTATTACTGGAATAGCGTTCGCGTACTTTCTTGTACATTTTTTCTATAAGACTGAATTCTTAGAAATAAAATTACTGGAGAGTTGCTGGCAAGTTACTGGATAATTTGTAAACAAACACAACTATTATAAACTACATTTTAATTATACACTAAGGGCCGGTTACTCAAGTCTGGTTAACACTAATCTGCGGTTAAACAGCGTTATCGACGTCTTCGACTCCATGCATACAACGGGGAGTCTGTAACGTCGATAACTATGTTTAACCGCAGATTAGTGTTAAACCAGACATTGAGTAATCGGCCCTAAGGGCAGCGTCTTGCGCTTATTTGCAAATAGTACCACTAATCAATACTTATTTGCGTGATTTAGTTATTTGCAAATAAAAAATTAACTCAGCGTTTATACGGCAAAGTTTACCATTTTGCAAATTGTTATTTGCCAATAATGCGTGCGTATAAACGTAGTAATAAATGCGACCTGTACTGATTGGCAAAAATTATGTGTTTGTTGTACATTTGTTCATGTTTGTTATTGTGCGTGGAATTTTCTAGAGTAGTTTTGTGCTCTCGCTATCTTAATACAAGGATACTCTGATGAACATACATATGTGAGGATGATGCAAGGCCAACTTATATAAGGTAGTGTTACAGGAGCAGTTGAAATTTTCGCCCGATGTTTCTTAAAGAAAGTCATAAACGTAGCGACCGGCGGTTCAACTTCGTGTTGTTTTGCTCTAGATTGCACCGTTTGTGGGCCTGTTGAATCAATTTATGGCTTGGTTGTATGAAAGATCAAAAAATGTGGATTTTCTGGCAAGTTGTACAACTTATCGCTACATTAATGGCCATGTTGTACAAACTCATTTAATTTGCGTTTATTTTGTAAACTAAATAAACGAAAATGGATAACTCAGCTGAAATAGGTACGTGCTTTTGTTGATTTTTATAAATGTAAGCCGAAACTATGAAATTGTAAAAATGAGATTTTACAATGAGATTTGCAATGTTTGTGGGCAAAACGTTCAACTTGATTGCGGATTGATTGGAACCAACGTTTTCGGCTTGCATTATGTCAAAAGCATGTGTTTGTTGTAATTCATTCTGTCATTTACTACCATTATGCGCAGGCCAATTCATGAAATCATTTCATGCGTTTGAGTAGAAACTGAATGAATTACAATTAAGGCGAAATAGAGTTTATGCACTTAGTTTTAACTCAGATCGATGAAATGATTTCGTGAATTGGACTACGCATACATGTTATACTTATGCTTTTAATTTATAAGGTAATTTTATGTTTTTAATCTCTTGCTACCACAAGAATATATGAATTCGTGATAAGAATATATAAATTCGCCTCGGAAGATAGAAAGCGAGTAAGAATAAATGCCGAGCAAAGGAATTTGTCTTCTTTCAACTTAAATAAATGCATTTTGCAAACAAAAGTGCGTATGTTCCTTAGTGCCTTGGTAATGGCGAATTCGTAAGGATCTATTGATTGCATTATAAACATTTTCATTTATTTGTTAAACATACAATTACTTCCATTACAACCCGGTCCTATGGATGCTAGAAGCGCGAATTCATATAAGGTGGTGTTACCGGAAAATGAATAAATAAATTATATGTATGTATATCAGAAAATCAATAAGATGAAATGAAATAATTGTTTGATTTCTAACCAAACCTATGTATGTAACTCAATCGCCTAATGGTTTGCCGAACCGTAATCATATGTTTACACATCCAATTTCGTGAGTAGGTACCTGGGACTCACACCTTTTTTAAGAAGTTTCTTCTTCTTTCTTCTTTTTTGGCGTTGTAACCGCCTAAGCGATTTTGGCCGAGTTCAGCAAAGCACGCCAGTCGTTTCTCCTCTGTGCCAACTGACGCCAATTGGAAACGCCAAGTGAAGCCAAGTCCTTCTCCACCTGATCTTTCCATCGTAGTGGGGGCCTCCCTCTTCCTCTGCTACCACCAGCGGGTTCCGAGTTGAATACTTTCAGAGCTGGAGCGTCGGTGTCCATTCGAACAACATGACCAAGCCAGCGGAGCCGCTGTATTTTAATTCGCTGCACTATGTCCATATCGTTGTAAAGCTCATACAGCTCATCGTTCCATCGTCTGCGGTACTCGCCTTCGCCAACGCGTAAAGGACCGTAAATCTTCCGCAAAATCTTTCTCTCAAACACCCCAAGAGCCGCCTCATCGGATGTTGTCATTGTCCATGCTTCTGCGCCATATACCAGCACGGGCATGATGAGTGACTTATAGAGCGTGGTTTTCATACGTCGAGAGAGGACTTTACTCCTGAATTGCCTACTCAGTCCAAAGTAGCACTTGTTGGCAAGAGTGATTCTACGTTGGATTTCAATGCTGACATTATTATCGGTGTTAATACTGGTTCCCAAGTAAACGAAATTCTCTACTTTCTCGAAATTGTAAAGAAATTGTTAAGAAGTTTCACTTCTATCATATGTACGGTGTTACACACGCATTTTTTTCGACGAAATTTTGTATTTTATCGCACGTTTTGATGATTTTGGGCAATGTTAAGGTGAAAAATTCGTTGTGAAGCTTGGACAATTTCGGATAATTGTGAAATTGATTGTGAACATGAATCAATTGGGAACAATTTTCTCCTAAATATGTTTCATAACCGATTCGAATGGTTGCTGCTTTTTTGGAAAGGTGTTTAGAAGGAGTGCACAAAGTTTTAATTTTTCCGATACGTGGGGCAGGGGTCGAGTACGCTAAAAAATGCATTTGGTACGTAGGTAGCCTTTTGCCTAAATTACTTTTTCTGAGAGGTGGACCAGATACCGATCTATTGGAAAAAATCTTATTTATGGTGTGATTTGCTTGAAACTTGGCACGTAGGTAGCTTATTGTCAGGGTTAAAATATTGGATACTCTTTTTCTGATAGTTGGACCAGGGACCGATCTATTCCAAAAATTCTTATTTATGGTCTGATTTGCTTGAAATTCGTATTATAGATATGCGTAGAATAGAATTGAGTCATTGTTTTACAGTTCGAGAGGTGTTTGAAGGCGCCGCAAACATGCGGGTGTTGGCTATTTAACAATAGTTATTACACACGCCAACAAAAATAGAAATAAATTTGATGCAGCTAATGTTAACGCTATTTTTGACGTAAGCATAAAAATTCCGTCAGCTCCAGATTTTAAGAAAAACAAGGTCAGTGTCAAAGAATCGCGATTTTGCAAAATTTGAGAAGCTCTAGCAAAGAAACAAAGGGTGGTAGAACCTCCCACTTAGGGCCGGTTGTTCAATGTCCGATTAGCACAAATCGGAGGTAGAAACTCCGGTTAAGCACAACTACTGCTTTATCGATCACATGTTACATGCATGATGTCGAAATCGTCGATAGTGTAGTGGTAGTGATAACCAGTAATTGAACAACCGGCCCTTAGGCTTAGATTGAAGAAAGAAAATCTCGGCTACTATACCTGCAAATTCCTGGACCTTTGCTTGATGGTCACTTACAGGTCTATTCTGCACGTTACTAAAGATTTTGTGACCGGAGAATTTTATTACCAAAAAATGTCTTGATTATAAAAAGGCAATAAGGGCCGGTTGTTCAATGTCTGATTAGCACAAATCGGAGGTGGAAGCTCCGGTTAGATACAACGACTGCTTTATCAATCACATGTTATATGCATGATGTCGAAATCGTCGATAATGATGTTTAAACGGAGATTAGTTTTAACCACATATTGAGTAAACGGCCCTAAGATGATCATCGAAAAGGAAAATTAACCTAAGCATGGCAGCGTCTTGCCCTTATTTGCAAATAGTACCACTAATCAATACTTATTTGCGTGATTTAGTTATTTGCAAATAAAACATTAACTCATCGTTTATACGGCAAATTTTACCATTTTGCAAATTGTTATTTGCAAATAATACGTGCGTATAAACGTAGTATAGTTTGGTGCATCATTATTTAGCCATATTTTTTAGTAAAACTGGTTTTTCCTAGAAATATAAAATATTTTTCTATTAAATGAGTTTTCTTAAAATTTATGCACATAAATTATAAAAATGTGTATATTAGAAAAAAGGGATACCTTTCTAACGATACTAATTTTTTTAAATTCGGTCGGGAATTTTTCGAAATATAGCCATTTTAAATTTTCGAAAATTCCCTTTCGCCCCTCCGTAGCACCGAAAATATAAGTTTGCACCAAAAAAATTGTATACCATTAAAATGAGGAAAAAAGGCGGATCACGTTTTGTTCTAGCTTAACGTGCCGTATTCTGCACTTATGCCAAAGAACTTAGGGAGTATACATATGTATGTACATTTCGCTGCAGTTTAATATGGCAACAGTCTCGGAATTGGAAGCGATCCGAAAGAAGTCGCTTTCCAAATGTCAAATTTTTGTTTGAGCGGCCACAAATCAAACAAACCCTTTGTTATCAAGAAATGTCATGTTCAGTTAATATTTTCCACAAAATTTTATTTATAAGCAAAATGTGATTTATTGTTTACAAAACTAACGAGTAAAAAACTTTGCTGAACAAACTTAACGCGAATTCATCAAAAATCGGTGGAGAGTGCTGTGAGAATCCCAGAGCACCTTTTACAAGTAAAATTTAGTGTGAAAAAAGTATAGTGCAACGATGGAACAGGTCGATTCTGCTGAGCTTCATCTAGGCAGGATACGTGATGTAAAAGATCTGGGTGGTCTCAATGACGAAGCACGCGACGTTGTTAAGGAAGAGGTGATTTTGGAGAGTTCTGGTCACCAGGTAATTACAAAAAATTTTAATGCTGGCGGCGTGGCGTTCCTAACACAAGTTTGCGCTCAGCCCCTTCCCGCGCTCGCTACTTACACCCCTTTCCGTTGCGTGCGGCCTTCTGTCTTCAACAGCGCAATTGATGTGTACACAATTTTTTCTCTTTTTTTCTCTTACTTTCGCGTTTGTTAATTATACGATTTTTTAATTGTAAAACTTAAAGCTGGATACAAAGGTGCGAATGGTGACCTCTAATGAGAATAGTGGCGGTAGTGGGGGTGTGGTCTCAGTACCGGTATCCCTGCCGATAGGCTCTATGATCACTGGAGCCTCCTTTAATGTGATCACACCGGACCAATTGCCGCATTTCAAGCAAATGCTTTGTGTCGATAACGGCTATATATCGAGCAGCCCAGTTGTTGGCAGCATGGGGGGAGATCTGAAGACAATTGTCATCCAGCAAACGACCGGAGGAGGTGGTGCCGGTGGTGGTGTTGGAATCAATCATGATGGTTCTGGCAGTAATAATAGTCACGATAGTACTGGAACCAGTGAACATCCGACTCAGGGTGCTGGCTCTGGTTGCGGGTCGGGGACTGGAGTCAATTGGGCCGAAACTACCCATATGGAGGTATTTCCCATTCGTTGTAAGACAACCAGCGCTGATTTGTATCGAAGTAAGTTGGGATCAGGAGGTCGTGGACGCTGTGTCAAATACAAGGATAAATGGTACACACCCAGCGAGTTTGAAAATGTATGTGGACGAGGTTCGAGCAAAGATTGGAAGCGTTCCATTAAGTATGGTGGCAAATCCTTGCAATCCTTAATAGATGACGGAATCTTGACTCCACACGCTACAAACTGCAGCTGCACTGTTTGTTGCGATGATGAAGCTGGTAAGTACATAAACTATACATTTTTGATGCATACACATAATTCGATTATTTTATTTTTTATTATTGAATTGAATCATGACACCTATGTACATCCCTGCAAACCAAAGTTCCTGAAATCTTTTGAAGTATCTCATTCCTGTAACGATTTTTTTACGAATCTTCAGAGAAAAGTAAATAAAGTGGCTCATACGAACTCGTAAAGAAATCTCTGTATGAAAAATAAAGAAAATTCTAAAAAAATCTGCAAGAAATTCTTCATTATTTCTTATTGCTTTACCGATATTCTTCCGAAATTTCGTAAAAGAATAATAGAGTGCACAGTCTAATTCATTTTAGGAAATTCGGCGAAAAATTGGATGAGGTCCACGATGCAGCGAACACAGGCGGCGCCATCTGACATACCACTATTTTGGGTTTGCCGATTTTGACAATTCTAGTCCACAAGTAAACGATGCCTCAGAGACTTTAAATGCACTGAAATTCACTAATACTTGCACAAGAGTCACAATTTTTTCATATTTTCCATATTATTTATTATTATTATTATTTAATTGAAAGCAAGTGATGAATCACTTGTTTACACAAAATGGGAGCACTAGCATCCAAGGCCTTCGGCTCTCTTATACTAAGTATATGGGTTTAGATTAAGGATAGTGCGATTTAGGGTACATATATACTTATGATTATAGTTAATATCGAATTTACTTTATATAAATTTTTTTAAGTCAGTAATTTTCAGAAACTCATTAACTAATTTTATTTTATCGGACTCAGTTTTCCTTAGTAGACTAGAAGGTTTGATATTGTCAAAAAGTGCCGTTCTTGTAGCGGTGAAGTTTGGGCAACTATCTAACAAGTGGCAGACGGTGAGGTGGTTAGAACCGCAATAGGAGCATAGAGGTGGTGGAGCTCCCGTGAGAATGTGGCTGTGGGAGATGACTGTATGTCCGATTCTGAGGCGAATAAATGACTTTAATTCGCTACAACTAACATCGAGGGGAAGGTTGGGGCTTTTGCTTCCTATATTCATATCTGAGTAGTGATGACGAAAGTTTTTCCACTCGTTCTGTTTTTTTAAGAACATTACTGAGCTTATGTGCCTATAAATGTCTTGTTTTAACATCCATTTTGATGTCACTAGGGGTTGTTCAGATGCAAGTTTCGCTCTACGATCTGCAGTCTCATTGCCGTCAATTCCGACGTGACTAGGGCTCCACATAATCTTTATTCTGTTTTTATTTTCCATGAGCATATTTTTAATGACAATCATTAAATGATTATTATTTTTGTCATTTGAAAGAGATTTCATCGTTGACAGACTATCGGTTACAATGACATGTTTATCTCTCGATTGGATTGCAAATTTAACAGCCTCGTAAATCGCTACTACCTCAGCTGTATATGCCGAACAGAATGGGTGTAGGAGACCCGCGGCAATTGTGTTCTGGTATTCGTCGACAACGGCATATGCAGTTGCCGAGGGATTCTTTGACCCGTCAGTATATAAGAGTTTCCATTGCATCTCTCTAAAAGGGGTGGTGAGTTCGAGGAAGATTTTCCGAAAAGCTGTAGGTGCTGTATTTACTTTTGAGTATTTAGCCATATTGAGTACCATGATCGGTTCGAAACATTGCCAGGGTGGAGGTCGATGGAATTTGGTTTTAGTTAGAGAGATGGGAATTTCCAGTGTCCTTGCAGCCTCTACAACTCTTTCCACCGCAGATTTTTGGTTTCTACTTTCCCTTTTCCTTGTCACAGCGTTTTTGACCGCATCTTGCAGAAGGGTGTTGCAGCTAGATAGAATTTTTGTGATAATCCTGCTTGTGTTGAAATGGACTCTTTCATCAATGGACGGTAGTCCTGCTTCCATCAAAATGCATTTAGTTGGCGACGTTGGGAATGCGCGTAGGCTCCTTCTTGCGGCAGTGTGGTAGGCTGGGGTTATAAGTTTCAAATTGCGTTTCGCACAGTGTCCATAAATAGCCAACCCGTAGTCTATTTTTGACAAAATCAAAGCCCTCACGATGTTTACCAATGTAACGGTGTGAACCATACAGTATTTAGAGGAAAGATATTTTATTACATTTAAACGTGTAATTAACTCTTTCTTAACGTATGTACAATGCTCTCTAAAAGTAAGTTTCTTATCGAATATTATACCTAATACACGTAAGCTGTTACAACTATCAATTGTCTGAGAATTAAATGTAAGATTTGGTGACGTGCATCTTTGTTTATTGCAAATATGCATAGTTTTACATTTTGTGATGGATATGTTAGCTCCAGAGATATTGGACCATTTCGAAATATCACTTAACATTTTTACAAAACTAATGTGAGCAGTCGTCAAATCTTTGCATTTCGTGAATAACAATACATCATCCGCGTAAGTAATGTGAGAAATAGATTTTTGGCTTAAGAATATTTTATTAATATCATCAAACGCAATGATAAATAATATTACGGACAGAGGCGATCCTTGTGGGATGCCGTTGAATAGCTTTCTGGTTTTTGCATATTTGTTGTTGATTTTGACGCAAAAAGTGCGATTGCTTAAGAACGACTTTACAAAATTGTAGATCCTAGTGCCTATTTTCCAGTCTGATAACTTTTTTAAAACAACATGAATTCCAATTCGATCGTATGCTTTCTCGAAATCGAGACTAAGCACTGAAATATGGTTTTTAGTAGCTAGAGCTCTTCTTGTAAAGTTTTCAAATAGAAGTAGAGCATCCAAAGTATTTTGTCCTTCCTTAAAGGCAAACTGATTGGTGCATATTAAACCGTTTGTCATCGCGTACCACATTAAGCGCTTTGCTACTATTTTCTCTAAGGTTTTACTCAGGCAGGACAGTAGAGAGATGGGCCTGAAGCCTGAAACGGTTGTATGGCGCTGGTGTGGCTTAGGTATGGGGACAACGATAGCATGCTTCCAACTTTGTGGGTAGTTTCCTTGGTTTAAAATTTCGTTAAAAAGGTGTACGACTCTGTTTTTTGTTTGTCCAGAAAGATTTTTTATTAATGGGTAGGAAATTCGGTCCCTTCCAGGAGTCTTACCTTTCATAGAACCGATTGTCATTTCAAATTCGAATGTGGAAATAGGGTTCTCCAATCCTTCCGCGTTTGCAGAGAGGTTGGTGTTTTTATAGACTTTCGCCAAAGTAGTATATTTTTCCTGGATAAATTCACTGTGGAAATTCGAATCTTTAGAGTATTCAGACCACGAAGCGCAGAAAACATCTGCAATATCTTTTGCGGGGTAGATGGGACCATCATTGCTGTGTATAAATTTAATTGATTGCGGATTGTAAGTCCCTGTCAGTCTTTTTATATTGGCCCAAACTTGTTTAGGGTCTGTTTTGGGATTTATTGAGGTGGTGAATTTCGCTAGGGACTTTCTTTTGGCTTCCTTAAGAGATCTTTTGAAGTGTGCATTTGCCTTTTTATAGATAAGCAAGTTAGAGTCCGTTCTATCTTTCTTGAAAGATTCCCATGACTTAAATTTGATTTCTCTCAATAAGGACAGGTGTGGGGACCAGTACGGCACAATATGTTTTTGTGTTTTATGTTGCGTCTGGGGAATGGAAAAGTGGGCGGCTGTTCGTATTGTTCGCTCAATATTTTTGGCTTCTTTGTTAATGTTACGGGTTTGTGGAGTTTTTGAAATTAGGCTGTCTGTTAATGTTTGAAATTTTTTCCAGTCGGCTTTGTTTATTAAAAATTTTGGTTTCGGTTTGCCACAATTAGTGTTTGGTGTACTGAGATTGGTCAGGATAGGGAAGTGGTCACTTCCATGTAGGCGATCCAATGTTGAGCTGTTAAGCCTTGGAGCCAGATTGGCGGAACATAGAACTACATCTACATTGGTAAAAGTTTTGAACGTTGAAAAATGAGTGGGTGCGTTGTCGTTTAGTACTATCAGGTCTTCGAACATAATCAAGTCTTCTAGAATTTTACCTCTTTGATTCGTGGAGTTTGAACCCCAGAATGGGCTCCAGGCATTTAAGTCGCCTGTAATGATTATAGGCGTGTTAAAACTGCGTATAATATCTTGCAACTCTTTCAGACTGAAGTTTTGATGTGGCGGTATATAAATGGAAATTATAGTGAAACGGAACCCTACATCTAATTCGATGGCTATTGTTGATAAAGGAGATTGAATTTGTATTTGTTTTTGCGAAGTATCCTTTTTTACCATAACTGCAATGCCCTGTTTGCCTGTATGGTTATGATTTAAATTGTGAAAGTAGCTAATGTAGTTTTTGGGTGTTGTGCCGTGCTTATTTACGGGCAAGTGTGTTTCTTGTATCGAAAGGACTGATGGTGAGTATTCGTTAATTAATAATTGGAGTTCATTAAAGTTGTTGTAGTAGCCATTTATGTTCCAATGGAGTATATTAAACACCATTATGGCAATTAATATATTTTTTCTTTTTTTAATTTGAATCTAAATCACCTTTATTAAGGTGAGATAGAAAAAAATAGTCATTTTTCCGCAAAAGGTCTTGGCTAAGTTGTGAGATTGGGGAGACGGGGTTAGAGAGAACCTGAGTCATGTTTCTTTCGTTGCTGGTGGTTGTGGACGTATAGTTGTTGGTAGTTGCATTTCTTGAAGTAGTGGGTTTATTTGTGTTGGAGGATGTTGTTTCGCTAGTTTCTTGTAATATTGTTGGTGCTGTGGAGTTATTGGTTTTTGATTGGGTTATGGAATTTTGAGAAGTACATGTGGTTGCTGGAGGTCTATTCTGCGTAATATTAGAGTATGAGGAAAAAATCATTGGTCGTGGTATTTGTGAGCTGTATATGTCTTTTGCTTGTTTCATAGAGCATTTTCTTTGTATTTTTATTTTTAAAATTTCTTTTTGTTGCAAAAACTTTGTACATTTGTTTGAGTTAGCGGGGTGCTCTTCATCACAATTTGCACACTTTGTGCGCACGCATTGGACGGGCGTGTGGGGAGGTAAGTTGCAGTTGACACAGGAGGGGTTGTTTTTGCAATG